TGAGGGTTATTCTTCTTCTACAGGCCCTGGGAATCTTGTTAGGATACATGGCATTGCGGAATGAGATTCTCATTGCCTCTGCCAGGATACAAAGAATGGATTACAACTGGATCTACAAAAAGGACGATGATCCAAAGCTTACTTCCAAATCCGCAAAGGAAATGGTACTTTCATTAACCTTTTGCAGTGGTCATTCCAGGCCCTGTCAAGTGAGCTGAAGAGGAGCGTCCATAAGGCAGAATTGTCTCAGACTGAGCTTTATAGGAGTAGACCCCATGATGTTATCCTGAAAGTGCAATAATAGTGATGCAAGTGTTTTTAGATTTTTTACTTCATTGAAACATTAGATTTCTCTCATACATTTAGTGTCAGCTTAAGCTTATAAACAACAAAGACATTTTTCAGAGCCTTTTTGCAGAGTTTTACCAAGGGTGCGCTATAATCAGAGACACTCCTGCAAGTCCATCTGTGCGTCTGTTCTGGCAGTAAATAGTTAAATCTATAAAAAGTAATTGTTTTTTCATCACTGTTCAGTGTGTTAATTGAATTGACACAACATAATTGCAAACAATAATGTGTAATTCTACTGGGAGAGCAGCCTGAAAGTGAGAGGCACCCATGCTATGAGGCTTTAGAAATACTAGCTATAAATTGCTGTTTAACAGTAAGTGCTTTGCCCTGTAGAAACAAAATGAGCACCAGCTGGTTGTAGATGGCCCTTTTTGCAGTGTACTGGTAAATGATTTTTGGTTTCAGACACACCCACACCCACACACACACATTCTTTTTTGGTCTGTTTGCTGTGCAATCACTATGCAGCAAGAGCTGTGTAATAATTGTTGATTAGCCCACAATAAAACGTGAATAAAACATTCTGCATTGCAGTATTCTTGGCGCAGTTTGGCCTTGAGACTTGAGTGTAACCTTTTATAAGGTTCTTTAAGTTATTTAGTAAAATGTTTAACAAAGTGATGTTAGTTTCAGAGAAACACTATCAGCTCAACATCAAACTGACTGTAGACTCTTCGAATGGAGAAAGTCTGGAGAAAAATTGGTAAACAAGTCCAAATACAACAACACTAATAATGTACACACTATTAATGAGAACAAGTTAATGTAACAAGACTTTTTTCCAAGTAAGTTTGGACTGTTTTTATTGGTCCATTCATCATTCATCATAACATTTTAATACAATATAAAGATCAGCTTGTCATGTTTGGAGTGAGAAGGGTTGCACACATGAACACAAGAACACTATACCCACAGTGAAGTACTGAAGTATGCTTCTCTGCAAACAGTACTGGGGCATTTAACATCATTGAAGGAAACATTAGAGGAGAATTTAATTGACCAAGAAACTGAATCTAGAGAGAAGATGGACGTTTCCACAAGACAACAACCCCAAATCCAGCCAAAACAGCTCAAGACTGCTTTCTAAAAAAGAAGGCAAAGGTGCTTGCAATCTCCTGACTTCAACCCCATAGAAAATTAAAGGAGGATTTTGAAATTGCAAGTCCATCAGAGGAACCCTTGTAATCTTGGGGAATTGAAGGCAGTTTGCCAAGAAAAATGGGCCAAAATTGAACCACAATGCTGCAAAAGCTACTTCGTTCTTACAGTAGATAGCTTTGTGTGCCGATGACAGCTTTGTTACAAAGTACTAATGTTATTAATAAGTATTTTGAACATTGCATTTTTAAATACTTTTTTGTTCATAATTATATGTATACATTTGAAGTGGATATAATAGAACAGTGGTCTTCAGACCTGGTCTTGGACAGCTACCTTCCTGCAGAGTCTTGTTCCAACCACAATTTGTCACTCCTGCTCCAGCTAATCAACCTCCTCCCAAGTCCCTGATTGGCTGGATCAGATGTATTAGAGTTAACTACGAGGCAGGGCAGCTTATGGGACACAAATTGGAACTAAACTCTGCATGAAGATAGCTCTCTACAACCAGGGTAGAAGACACCACTGTAATAGAAACATATATATATATATATATATATGTGGATCATTCTCAGCACTACAGTCACACTGATGTGGTGGTGGTGTTAGTGTGTTGTGCTGGTACGAGTGGATCAGACACAGCAGTGCTGCTGGAGTTTTTAAACACCTCATTGTCACTGCTGCACTGAGAATAATCCACCAACCAAAAACATTCAACCAACAGCGTCCTGTGACTATCATATTTGTTTTTTCCCATAGGAAATACAATACAAAAAGAGATATTTTTTATTAATATTTCTGTAGTTGATGAGATCAGATGGAAAGACAAATGAGATTTTTTCTGAAGACTTCTGCTGCTCAGATATTTCTCCTGAGCAAGAGTCTCATATTTAGTTGCAACAGAGATCTCAATAAAGTCACACATTGTACTCAGATTTGCTAAATAATAACACTTGTGTTTATCTGCCTCTAGACTCTCATCTCTATTTATCTCTCCTTTATCTCTCGTGTGTCTAATGCCTTTTTTTGTCTAACGCTGTTTTTCCTAAAGAGTTTTAGAAATATCAACATTAAGGCTTCTGATCAAAGATCAATAAAATTTTCCTCTGAGATATTTTACTTTAGCCTGTGAAAGGGTGGCCAACGAGGGGCTTAAGAGGATTGTTATACTTCAGGTCCACCTGTGTTGTTCAAAGCAGACACAGCTTGCCTTTAAACAAGGTATTTATAGGCCTGCTTGCTTGGTGTATGGAATATAACTGGGCAGCTGGGTGTGGTTATTCTGCATCAGGACATGTACAGCCTGCACATGGACACTTTCGATAAATACATGTTTGATCTACATAATATATCTCATCTCTTTTTGGACAAGCACACATAAATCATGTACTTTAGTAGCATTTAAAATGTTTAGTTCTACCAACTTCAATAGTGATTTGAAAGAAAACAAGACAATTTTCATGCATTTTCTACCCACAGGTTTCTAATAAATTCTAATTTCACTCACATAGGAAACTTGCTTTCTAAATATTCAGAACTGTTGTTTTTTGCAACATGGTCCAAACGTTAGTGATTTCAGAGAGAAAGATTGACTACAAGTTACTACCACACTTTGCATTAACAGTCTTTGTTAGCATATTATTATTATTATTATTATTATTATTGTTCCATTTACTGTAGTCTATATTACTATTTGAAAACTTAAGCATGAGGGAAGGAAGACATGAAAATCCTCAGTAAGGACTCAGAGAGTCTCAGTGCATGTTAATAGAGGTGCCCTTGCACTAGAAGAAGCCTGGACTGGCAAGCAAAGACCAGCCGTGTGGCTTCTCTCTAAATGGCTAACATTAGGATTTAACCTGGGGATGCTTGCTGGTGCTAGATGAGTGGCAAATGTTATCTTGATTGACACACGGTGTACTTCATACTGTGTTTCAGTCTGTTTTAGTTAGATAATGCACTCCCATGTCGCAGACCTCAAGGTCTTTGCCTTGGAGAGACCAAAGGAGACTGGAATTTGATTCCCTGGAATTTGTAATGAGAAAGATACCAAGTCTTGAATTTGCAATTTGTATTTGGAGCTCATTTGAAACTGAAAGATTACAGCTAAAGGGCTGGAAGTACTGCATGAAAAACTCTTGTTTATCTGAACCCATTTCATATAAGGGAACCTAAGGGGTAAACCTACCTTAACTTGTTAGAGTAGTCATTAACCTGTGAAATAGCCTTTTCACAGCCCTTTATTTTAATCCACACTTTAGCAGGATGTGGCCCAGGGTGAAAGTGACAAAAAATTCACTAAATACAGAACACTGGCTTGAGTAGGTGAACTATTACTCTGAAAATAAATCACATCACATGACAGAGGACAATTATGATTTGCAAATGACATTTACATTGCTGTGAGTGGGAAAGGTAGCTTAAAGGAGGTAACATGATGCTCCAAAGCAAGTTAATAGGGCACATTAGCATTCAGCTCCACCATCTGTTGAACAAATGGGAATTAGTACACAACAATTGCTTGCATTCATCAACTGCTAGCTTTCAGGATGAACATTGATTCTGCCCACTACTTCAGTTTTGTTTCAGCATCAAGACTAAAGATTGTACTATTACTCAAGACTGACAAAGTTTGCAAGATGTTCTAATGGCCACCGTAAAGCTCCAAACTACGTGAAAGACGTCAACAGGCCAGCCGGTGCCCAATTAATGTCAACAGGGCTACTCCTCACAAGGTACGCAACTGATTCTTTATTTGTTGGACACGGTAAACATACATGGAGTCAAATTATCACTGTATAATTATCATTGCTTGTAATCTTTTATTATGGTGTGACTGATCATATAAAGTGATATGTAAGATGACATAGCCAACCATAACAGTTCTGCTACTGACGAAAGGCTGAAAAAGGACTAATTTGTCTGAGGATTAGCATTTTTGCCATGACTACATCTTGCAACTCAGGCTGAACATTGAACTGATGGGAGGAACTAGAGTGCCCCCATATGGCACCAACACTGATTACAGAACAAATGGGCAGATGGATTTATTGATACCTGCTGCTGTTTAGGTAAACAAACCTCAGACCCCAAGTGTTTTAATATATATATATACATATATATATATAATATTGTTATTAATATATATATATATATATATATATATATATATATATATATATATATATATATATATGTATGTATGTATGTACAAACAATATTATATATATATATAGATAGATAGATAGATAGATAGATATAGATATATATAGATAGATAGATATAGATATAGATATATATAGATATATATATATATATATATATTTTTTTTCAACTAAACATTAGCTTTTCAGTGGACCACATGCTGATAAGAGATAAGGGCACTAAAGCACAAAACAGAACTGTTTGATGTGTGTGTGTGTGCGCATGTGTATGTATGTACACATATTTAGTCAGTCAGTCACACACACACACACACACACACACACACACACACACACACACACACACACACAGACACACTCACGCATACACACACAAAGATCAACAACTTTTTAAACTGTTTTCAATAAAAGACTTTATTCTTTTGACAGCTGAATCTTCTGACATATCAAATATATTTACACTGTATATAATAGGCTTCAATAAGGAAGTTGATTTCTTAATAAAAGCTCAATGAGAAGAAGAGAGAGCAAAATCAAAGAGGACAACTGACCCAGAAAAAGGATGACAGGAAATTTCCAGTATAGCAAGCTATATAAGATTATGGCTGGGGAATTTCAACACCTTTATGATGATGATACAATGGAGGCTAGGGAGATAACAGAAATGTTGACCTGAACAGCTGACTGATAATAGGAACAATCTAGCAAACAGAAAAAAAGGCTACAGTTTTCATCTACATTTTCTCATGATTGGTGATAATCTGACAGGACGTTAGCATTTCCACTGCTTTGGCTTTTTGCCTGAGAAAACATTTATCCTTATCAGTGACCTTTAGCTCAGTTAGAATATTAAAAAGGCAAACAAACTGGAGCTAGACAAACGAATGCATACTTTATTCTCCATCTGGATCCGTGTCCCATCACTCTTGGGACATCTGACAAATCCCAGTTCAGGCCGCCTTAACTGCATCCAGCCCTGTTCCATTCAGCTGAGCAGGCTGAGCGAAGTCCCTGAACAGGATCCATCATGATGAGGCAGGGCTTATTGCTGTCATATTGATCACTGGGTTTTATTTTGCCTCATCTGCTGCTTGCAGAGAAGGCAGAGAGTAAACAGAGCTAACCATTATCAATCATCACATCACTCTCCCTTCAGCACATTTCAAAAAGCTAATACAAAGAAGCATTGCAGTCGTTCAGGCCACGTTTTCATATAAAAACGTGTATTTGTGTAAGAAAGGCTCAGTCATCAGGCTCAGTAACACACTGCTCCACTATTTCCCGCAGGTTAGGGTTCTCCATGGCTGCCGCTACGCGCTCCTTATCATTGATCTGTTTGTTAACTGCATGACAAAAACAGAGCACATCAATTAACTACCTATCTATGGCACAGGCTCCATCTTAAGTAGATACAATCTCACAATGAGATGACAAGGATAGAGGAGAGATGAGCGAAGATTTGTAATTCTATCAAAGGCACACACATAAAGATAATAAAGATATCTCTTGGATAAATCAGATTTACAGTTAATAAACTCCAGACTATCTCTTTGTGCACTTGCACATGAAGAAGGAGAAGAATGTGGTTTTGTTTCACACTTACTATCCTCCTCAGTCGAATGTGTTCCCTCAGTAATGTAAATTTCCAACTGTGAACAAATAAAGATCAGAAAATGTACTATCTGGAACAGAAAAGGAATCAAATTCTCTGAGCATTTCCATTAACCATGTTTCACTCTATGTCTTTAAATGGTAGCTGCATGTAGAGACAGAACTAATGTGCTACTACACTGACTGCCATCTCAATTTTCTCATTACGGAACGCTAAAAATAACACACGAATGATCATGGGAAATCACGTAACTAAGTTAACAATCCTAATGTTCTTGGAGACAACAGGAAATATAGTGACTTCAATGACGAGGAAATGAGTGGGGGAGAGACGGTTGTAATGAGTTATTTGTGTTTAAACCTTTGAACCTTACCTTGTGCTTAAATGGGAGGCATCGCTGTAGCTTCACTTGTAAGCAGAGGCCTGAAACACATCATCATGAAGAAAGTAAACAAAGCACTACTTGTGTTGAACTGTCAAGTGGCATGTTCACAAATAAAGATTTTATTTTTTCCTGGAACTGTTTACTCCTTGAACCCCACGCCCCCCCATCTCTGTCCATGTAAACAAATCATGCCCCCCAAAATAGTCCACAATTGTCCAAAATGGTCCACAATTACAAATAGATACTAATAAAAGGGTGCAACATGGTACAATAAAATAAAAATAAAAAATGTATTGTCTTAATATTACAGAATAACTGCTAAGTAATGTGATGGCAGAAAATTGTCCGTACATTACTACTGACTGCAAATTGTGCAACCAATAGAAAACATTGTCATATCAAGAGAAGTTTACACTTTGTTCATGTATGCAAAGCAACATTCACCTACATTTATATACTGAGCAGTTCAAGGATATATTCATCCAAAAAATTATTCTATAATCTAAAAACTAGAAGAGGTTGCCTTAATCAAAATCTCAAGCAGGACTTAAAAGACCTTCAAGTTTTTCATCTGAGGCCAAGAGGAAGTAAAACGGGGGTAAACATTCAAAGGAAAACTGAGACTACATATGGAAGAAGACCTGTGTCAATCAGACTACACTACAAAGTAAAGACAGTGAGTATTGGTATTCTTTGACTCAGCATATGACCTCAGTTCAACTCAGAATGCCCACTACCTTCATGTATTAAATCTTTGAAACAAATCTTAAACAACCATCATTTTCTTAAAGTTGATGTAGCAGCTGTCACTGAAACCTGATTTTCAGACATACACCCCCTTCTATGTTCAATGTGGATTGTTACAGCGTGCTTTTGCAGCACAGAAGTTCAACAAAAGGTGGTGATGTGGCTCTTTCTGAATTTTTAAAGTGCCACACAAATTAAAACACCTACAGGCATGGACAAAACCTAATTGGATCCCAGACGCACACTCCCCTCCAAACCCGCCTCTCTGCGTTTTGTTAATAGACTGTCCACAAAATACCACTCACGACATTCAGGTAAAGTATCCTCATGTAGGTCTTGTCCTACTGGAGGATTTTAACAGACTTGAACTTTTGAAGTTGCACTGAGAAAGTTTGCTACCAAAGTGGTTAAAGATAACACAGGAGGTAACGCCATCCTAGACAAGATTGTGACCAATAGAGTATATCTTTGTATGCATCCAACTGTCCTACCACCTATAGGATGCAGGGACCATGATGTTCTTTGGACTGTTAAAGCAGCCTCATCAACACACAAAGCTTGAGTTTGGCAACTGGATTACGTCAAACACCTGGTCTGATGTTTATGTGGCCAAAGATACGACTTCAAAGACCGATGATTTTTATATCACATTAACCACTACAACAGACAACTTTTCCATCCATCCAACCGATAAACCATGGATCACGCCCAACATTTAGCACCAAATTGGCCTACGTCAGAAGACCTTTTATAACCAAAATATGAAAATGTGGAAACACAACAGCAGAGGTCACCAAATCTGGACCTTTATTCCACTTTCCGGTCCTGGATTTTGTAATCAAGGGTATGTATGACACTAGGTGGCCAATCACTTACATCAACCACTCAGTGATTACAAAATCCAGCCTGGAAACTGGATTCCAGCAGATTTGAAGACATCTGTATGACAGAAACAAAGTTCATCAGACACTTGCCCCAGCCAGACAGAACTACTACACTAATAAAGTTGCAACAGTCAAGGCTGCTTATCTTAGGAGGTGGCAGATTAAGGTTATGGTCAAAATAAAAAAAAGTAAACAAGTAATACATATACCTGGATCTGAAACTGCGGTCACTACGAAAATGACAAACTAAATTTCACACGCTCTACCAGCATGAGACCCCCTCACCAGTTCCCCACCCTTAGTGTGTTGGAAGTGCATAGAAGGATTAGAACCATTGAAGCTGCCAAAGCTTCTGGCCCAGACACAATCCCTCAGAAAATTTGGAAGGAGTTTGCTTATGGGATCAGTGTCCCATTGTGCCATGTTTTAAATAATTCTTTTAGAGAGGGTCTCGGTCCCTTTTAGCGCAAAGAAGCATCAGCAGTGGTTGTCCCTAAACCACAAACATGCCCTGCACAGCTAAATCAGCTAAGACCCATTTCTTTGACTATCCAGATGGCAACAGGTGAATATAGTGCCCTTCAGTGGCTGCTTAAGGACATCACATCCGATCTTACACTTGATGTAGAAAAGACGGTTCTTCAAAGAAAAGAAAATGGTTCTATACAGAACCGTGAATACTTAAGGAACACTTTGTATGATTAAATGGTTCTTTGCATGTTGAAATGGTTCTTCAGATTGATGTGTTGTATACAGCATCAAAAAAGGTTCTTCTATTGTTACGAGACTGATACAAAAGAACAACCCTTTTCCAAATGGTTCTATACTGAACCATATACAACACATTCTCTATCAATCTGAAAAACAATTTCACCATCCAGAGAACCCCGTAACCATGGTTCTATATATAAATGTTATCTTTACTTAAGAGCCCTTGAAGAACCATCTTTTTAAAAGTGTTCAAATTTGGGTTTGTATAGGACAAGTCAGCAACTCATGCCCTTGTTAACTTGGTAGACACCTTGACCGGGAATACAGAAGAACCTGTTTCTTTATGTTCATTATTGGCTACTGATTTCTATAGATGTTATATTTCTATAATATTATTAATATATATTTCTTTTTTCCTCTTATATATATTTTTGTATTTAAATTCTACAAGGGGGCTATGCACCTAAGATTTTCACTCACCCTGCACCTGTGTAAATGTGACGACATTAAACGTGATTTGATTTGATTTGATTTTGATTTGATTTCAGTAAGGCCTTTGACAGAGGTAAACACTATGACTGCAAGTGCCAGCAGCTTCTTAAGCGCATCAAACATTTCTGAGTTGTGCAAACTGATTTAATAGTTATTTATACTGGCTACATTAAACCAGTGTTGGAGTATGCAGTCCCTGTATGGCATGCTGTGAGCATTCCTTATCAGTACAGTTGGAATGTGTGCAAAGGAGGGCATGTGACATCCTCACTGTGACATCTAATGTCAGTTAGCAGCATTCCCTCAATATCCTGGGTATCCCCTCCCTTGAGAAAAGGTGAAAACAGATTTGCCTAAAGTTTGCTCAATCCCTGCAATTTATATGGCAACAGCCATAAGCCTAATACTCCATTGGTGAGGACTAGTCCATTACTATCGTTCCTTTATCCATTATCTAACTTATTGATATACTGCTTTGTAGTTTACATACAGTCATGTTGTTAATGTTTTTTTTTTTAGATGTTTTTGTATGACATGGACTGTTTTACTGATTCCTTTACGTTTGTGAATGTGCGTAAATTCAGTCCTTAACTTTGAAGTACTAATAAAACTACTACAATGTTATTAATAGTACTTCAATGACATAATATTCATACTTTCTGAATGTTTATACATTTTCAGGTCAAGAAACTAGTACTTCTAGTTTCCATACTTTTCCAGGCCTGCAGAAGAGCCCTGTGTCTATTCTACAAGCTTATAAGTCGTTATGTATCATTCCAAAAAAATCTAACTTACACGAAATTACCCCAAATGCAGGAAAGACATGTTTGGAGTCTACATTTTGCTTTTTTTTAAATTTGCACTGGAGCTTTGATGCTAATATAGATTATATAAGCCTCACAGCTCCAATGCTGAACTAAAAAGCAAACTTTATAGGTGAATCTCTCTTTGCTGTCTCCACACACAACACTTGTATGTGAGGGTGCCAAACGGCAGTTCGTCATATCTCTCACACGCACCTATCAGGGTGGCCAGAGAGCAGTGCGGCACTGTCGGGGAGAACCTGATAATGATGAGATACTCATCATCGCCGAGATCCTGAACTTCGACACACTTTTCAGTCACGACGTCCAGCTCCTCCAGGGTGTTGGGCTTCTCTGGATCCCGAATAGTGCGAATTACATCTGGAGGGGAAAAATGACAACTGTAGAAAACCCGAAAACCCGGTCTTTATGTCGTTCAAGCAGTCCAAACTGATACTGAAGATGAAGTAAGTTAATCAAAAGCCACAGCGCGTCAGTCGGTTCAGAACCCAGAACCCAGAACCCGGACACGGTTAAGTTCTCTCACTAAGTACAGTCTCTAAAAAGTCCGCGTGTGAAGCTGATACTGATTATTATTAATTATGAATGTTCAGGAGTGTTAATGTGTTACCATTTGAAACTCAACTCTCAGAGCTCTCGGCTGACTGACTGAGGCTGCGCTAGCTGACCGTTAGCCGCCTGCTAACGCCGCCGCTCCACTCACCATAAACCTCTAGAGCTTTCTCCTCCATCTTCTTGGTCCTCTGTACATTCTTTGTGTCAGAGATTCTGGAGAGCTGAAACACTTTATTTAGAACGCTAGAAAGGATCTCCATCTTGTCTCTGACCCCATCATCATCATCATCATCATCGTCGTCGCTCTGTGTGACTTTGACAGTCCGGTCTGAACCTGAAAAGATACAGCAGCTAACAGAGCCGCACTTCCTCACTCCGCTCAGACATCAACAATGGATGTCCGGGCAGATCAAGCTTTTCTTTGTTACTGTGGAATGATGATGATGATGATGATGATGACGATTATTATTATTATTATTATTATTATTATTATTATTATTATTATTATGGGCATTTTGAATCATTTCTATTGGTGCATTCATCATGAAAGTTTGACACGTGAACACGGCATTTTCAAACTATGCAAAAATATAATAAAATTAGCTGATTTGCATTTGCCTTTTTTTGAAGATTCAAGGAACAAGGTTTATTATTGTTCTGACAATATACATGTTTATGTAGGTGTATGAATACATAATCCACCATACATGAATGTGAAACGCATAACCAGAAGATCAGCTTTGAACAGACCAGCTATCATTTATTATTATTATTATTATTATTATTATTATTATTATTATTATTATTATTATTATGGGCATTTTGAATCATTTCTATTGGTGCATTCATCATGAACATTTGACACATGTGAACGCTGTTGGCATTTTCAGACTATGTAAAAGTATAACACAATTAGTGGATTTTAATTTGCCGTTTTTTTTTTGAAGATTTTATTCTGATAATATACACGTTTATGTAGGTGTATGAATACATAATCCACGATACCTTAATGTAGAAAGCATAACCATGAGAACAGACCAGCTACTACTACTACTACTACTATTATTATTATTATCATTATTATTATTATTATTATTATTATTGTTGTTGTTGTTGTTGTTGTTGCTATCCTTCTTCTTGCTCTTCTTATTTTTATTATTAATGTTGTTGCTTTATTGTTATTATAATTATTATTATTGTTATTAATTTTGCTGTTGCTGCTGTGGTTAACAACACTGGACCGTGCAGTAAGGTAGTGATTCGATGTCTCCGTAAATTTATTAAAATAGTCTTGAACTTCGTGGGCAAGTTGTGTGCTATGATTGATTGCTTTGGCCTGGTTTCAGTTCCTCAGCGGCGCTCTGTGATTGGCTGCTCTCCGTCATGTGATCACCGACAGCACGTGATAGTCAGTGATGTCAGTGATGTGGTGGAGCTGAGGGCTGTCTGTTTTTGCTTTTATAGGAGGCGTTATTTGCGTTTGTTTGTACTTTTTCTAACGTTTGAAGGAGGTCTGTTCGTCGCAGCTGTTCTGAGAATGTGAGACCGTATCAGACTGCGGGGAGAGGAGTCAGCCTGCTTTGGGTCCTTCATCCGGCTGGGCAGCGTCAGAGGGAGAGGGAGAGTTTGGAGTTAAGATCTGTGTGTTGTGCTGTTGATGTTATTTCCCTGTTACAAATATGTTAAGCAGGCCTGAAGCTCGAGTTCAGAAGTCTTTAGAAGTTGCACTTCTACCTGAAAATGACGTGTGTAAAGATGTTGAGAACATCGTTAAAGCCAAAATGGCTAAAGGCTGCTCTCTGCTCTGCTGCCTGAATGTTGGTGGCCAGTTGTTAGTCAGTGATGTTTCTGAGCGCGGCAGTCTGGTACATACACTAGAGGACTCATACACAGAGTAAGTAAAACTCTCTGTCTCTCTCTCTCTCTCTCTCTCTCTCTCTCTCTCTCCTCTCTCTCTCTCTCTCTCTCCCTTCCTCTCTCTCTCCCTTCCTCTATCTCTCTCTCTTCCTCTCTCTCTCCCTCTCTCCCCGTGTTCTTCCACTCTCTGCTTTGTCTATTACACATAGATCTTTTGTTGTTGCAGAAGAATGATTCTGTTTTTTTAATCAGTGCTCTGTCTTCCTCTGTTTGCGAGGAAGTTCATATGTTTCAAGTGAATTGATTTTTGTTTTTGTACTCAACAGCTTTTTCTGGGAGGTGTTGACAGAGCGAAGTAACACTGATACCAACCCCAGACTCCTGACTGTGGGACCAGAGGGTGAACTCAGACTGCATGAGGTCGGTCAGGAAAGCCAGCTGTCTCATCTGTCTGAATACCCAACACACAGACTGCTGCAGCTTGTCAAGGAGAAGGACCCGAGTGAGTGAGATTCAAATCTGCACCAGAGACACTTTCTTTACATTAAACCGTGTCATATTCTTGAACAATTCAATTCTATGTTAGTTTGTCCTTTTAAATCAGGGGTGTCCAGTCTTATCTGCAAAGGGCCAGTGTGGATGCAGGATTATATACAAACAGAAACTAGCTGAGACCAACTTCTTAAACAAGTGGAATCATGCGTGCTGCTGCTTGTTTGAAATGAAAACCTGCAGCCACAGAGGACCTTATGTGGTCAAGAATGGACACCACTGTTCTGTGTGGTATACATTAGGGATGCACCAGTTATGGGAATATTTTTGTACATGTGTACATATATGCACATATGATCATTTTCTACATTTATAAAATGTAGAAAAATTGAGACTGCATCTACCTGGCATATAGCATACGACATAATATTTCTATGGTGCGATACTGGTGCAATATCACAGTGTCACAATGCACTGTTACACCTCCAATAAATACATCATCAAATATCATTTTGAAATACTGGTCAAATCTAAACAATCCAATGCCAGTATTTTTTAAGCAATTATCTGTTGATACCGTTATGATTCCTATATCAACTTTCTGCATGCATTTCATTGGGATAGATGGATGGTATTAACAAATTACTGCTATGGGAACAGCATCAATGTGCTGCAGATTTAACTTTGCCCTATTCTTCCAGTGGACCAGTAATAGGTTATCTTACAGCTATTACAGGTTAATTAACTGTGTTTAACTGCTGTTCTCTGAAGGCAAAGTATTTTCTCTAAACTTTTTTTCTGTGCCACAGGTGCGAGTAAACTGACCTGTGCAAAGCTGCTGTTGTTTACCGATGGCCGCTGTTTCCTTCTGCTGAACACGTGTGTGCTGGTACAGCTCCAGTACTTGGAGGGCTCTGCAGAGCCAGAGACTGTGTCTTCCTGTCTAATCAACCTGCCACCTGAAATTCGGGAAACATGCACTGATTACCAGCTCTGCAGAGGCACTTTGTTTGTGCTGACCAGCGCTGGACTTATATGTATCCTTTTTGATGAACTATCATCCACATTTCCTGTTTGGTAAAAGGGATGTTGCACTGACCTTTGGCTTTTTAAACTTGCAGACATTCTGACAATCTGGTGCTCTTGCTGAGAATATATTAATATGTCATAAAAGTTATAGCAATATTATCTTATTGTTTATTCTATCATATTAGACTGATCCAATGCTTCACTACTTAGATAACAAAGCATTTGGCTGTCTAAAGAGAGTCACACCTGCCACTGTTTTCCCACTTTTTGTCACACATATACATTGCCAGTCAAAAGTATTGTGGATTTTAGTTATTTTTACTATTTTACTATTTTAGAGTAGCAGTGAAGATACTGAAACTATTACATATTATGTGTGGAATTTATGCAGTAACCATAATGAAATGCTAAACAAATCAAAACCTTCTCATATTTTTAAAAACACACATATTTCATGTGGCCTGATGCAGCTTTACAATTTATTTCAAGCCTGCTTTTCCAACAGGCTTGAAGAAGATTCTTGTTTTAAATAGGGCACAAATGCTGAGTACATGTTGGCCACCTTAAATTAACTTATCAATTTCATTATTTGGGTTTGTCCTCGAAACAATTTTCAAGCATTAAGCCTTCAGATAAGAAATATTTGTAAGATTTTGAAGCCCTTTCAGTCAGGCGGCTCCACACCTTTATATATGTGCACGCTGGCACCTAAGCAAACTGTTTAAAACCATTTATCTGGGCAGTAACCGTGTTTCTGCATGTAAAAAAAGCATAAAACATTTGAATAAATTCAGACGAACAAGAATGCAGTTTTTTTCCTAAAGTAGATAAGATGTACGTTAAGTTTATGAGATTTTTCCTTAACTCTACATGTCAGATGTGTTTGATAGTGTTGAGGGGAAAGCACCTGGCCACAGTTGATCTTCCTGTATACTATACATCAGGACAGAGAGAGGTGGAGTTAGTGATATCCCTCTCCTCCTTCTGCCTTCTAAACATATCGCAGGACCTCAGCACGGCTGTGGCTGCTACCAGCAAAAACCAAGCGCTGGCACTCGACCTCAATGACTACTTCAGGTGCGTTTAGTGGTTTTTATAGAGACTGTTCTCCTGCAGAAGCTTGTGGTTATCAGCTGGGATTAAACCCAGTTTGACCAAATGACCAGTTTGTCATCAGGTTCTCTGACGTTGTTTTCTCAGCTTTTTGATTTTGCAGTGTTTTATTTGATCTTTTATGTGTGACATTGTGTAAAGTGAAAACCATGTTCATGCTGTTGTTTGTGAAGAATATTTTGTATGACAGTGAATGTGACAATCAAAATGAACTTATATTTAAACTTTGCATTCAATTTTCCGTCTTGATGAATCTGATATTACCATAGGGCATTTTTTGGCTCATTTCTTCTTCTAGGACTCATCCAGATCAGCTGCTGTGCCAGCAGTCTCCCAGTCTCCTTCCTCTCATGCCCACAAAGCCCTGTGACCAGGACAGCATCACCAGCTCAGCATACAGTCAGTCTGTACTGGGCACTCACTTCCAAACTGACCAGTAAGGGAGTTTAGACCATTACGTATGCCTTTTCTTTTGAAACAAATCTCTGTTTATTTATGAAGCAATATAGGCTGGAATGAAGTTGGACCCTAATGGGGAATTCCAACAATTTTCAGCAAAAATTAATGGCTTAGATGTAAAAAAAAATAATAATAAAAAAAAAGTCATTCAGAGTGGTTTCATGTGAAATGCTGCATTGTAGAGAAACAATTAAAATGGAATTAACATTTATTTAAATGTTTCAATTAACATTTCATTTGGCAGCCAATCAGGGCTTTACTTGATATGGGTCTTTTAATATGTATGACCTCATTCGCATGTCGATTCTGATTGGCTCTTGTTTAGTACAGTGGTGAAAATATGCGTTAAAGAGACATTGCCAAGCTAATCATCACCATGGTGACTTTGTGAACAGCTCTTATTTGCCATTGCGCACATTTTCCATGACATGTGCTGCTACCGCTGACTTTTATAAATCTGGCCCAATGTGTGTTACCATATCTAGATTTTTGGAAAAGGTTTGAAAACACTTTAGAACATTAAAAAAACATATGAGAAACATTAGTACAATGATATTTCAGCGTATATCATTGTATACAGCGCCTACAAAAATAAACTGTTTAAGGAAAAACAGGAGTGAAAATCACAAATCAATCAAAAGATAAACTGATATTGATATATATGACATAATGATATAATGGGCTGACATCTAATCAGCTACTTGTTGTTACTACACAGTTCACTATACATTGGTTGTTGTTGTTGTTGTTGTTATTGTTGTTGTTTACAGGTTTACAGGTCTCAAATTATCTAAATTGGTCTTTTTATGATACATGCAGTTGTTCAGTGTTTCAGAAGTATTCATGATATACATGATATAGAAAAGTGAGCAAGTAATTTATTACAATAACGTACGTCATGTTACTCACGTCTGACCAACCCATTCTGTGCAGCTCATGGGAGGCAAAGTTGGTGCTGCTGTATAAGCGAGCTAAAGCTCCAGAACCTCCAGCGCTCCGACTGCCCTGGTACAGAGACATCCCCAACTCAGAGTGCCGTCAAATGGCTGCCACCGCCAAGCTCAGTCAACCCTCCGTACCAGCAGGGGGTATCCTGACGTCCTTCGTTGTACCTGAACAGACCACACCAGCCATGCTGAATGTCTCAGAATTCTCAGCAGTGCTTACCTTCACCTCAGCTGGAAACAGCTGCACCACTCTGGCTCACTGGGATCTGGAGAGTCAAAATGTGACGTATCACTGCGTAGATGCCCCTGCTGCACCTGTTCAGCGGTCAGAGGAGGAACACCTCTCTCTGATACTAAAAGGTGAAGCACAGCTTTTACAAACAGCTATGAACAATAAGATTGGAAGCACAGCACTCAATGCTGTTTTCAGTTGCTTTCTTGTAATATTATGATTATCCGGTTTCTTTTTATTAGGAATGCGCTGATGTGAGAATTGTGGACCGATGTCAATATCCGATATTGTGGTATACATATGTTCATATCTGCTGAGGCCAAGATATCAGGATGTATACAGTGTAGAAATTGAGACATCAACTCAAATTAGCATTATAGAAAAATATAACATTTATTTATTTACGATTACAAATACAGTAAAATGACTGAAATACAGATTTTAGCACAGTAGCCCAGCGTCACCTAAACATTCTGTTCTTCTGAAGTTCAATAAATACATATTGGTAAAATCTAAATATCTGTCATACACTGATAATATTCTTTTTAAAAGCAATTATCTGCCGATTTGATTCCGATCACGCATCCCTAATTTTTTAGCTATGTGCACCTTTATTGGCACTTCATGGTCAGAGTACTTAATTGTAATAGTGGAGAGCCTGACTGAACTTGTGATGTGTCTGTGTATGTGTTACAGCATCAGGCTTGTCTCTGGTGCTCTTCGCGGTTTCTCAGGAGGAGCTGTTGAACAGATTGATGGTGTTTGGCAGTGCTGGCGTGGCAGACTCTCTCTGCCATCTGAATGCTTGGGGGCGCTGCTCTATGCCCATCCATGCCCTGCAGGTACACACAAACATCTCACCCAAATGCACAGAAACAGAGGTAACAACTGAAGGGTATAAGAGTGTGTAGACTGTATCCTTAAGATCGTCTTGAAAGAAAGTGTTCAAGTGACTATATCTGTGCCATCTACCAGCAATTTCACACTAGACCACTGATAATATTTGTATCGGTGCTATGGTCCTTGAGTTTTAGGTATAATATTCTTCAATGTTTTGTAGTTGTCATTAAGAAACATAAGACAAGAAGAATATTTTTCCTTCTTTTCCAGGCAGGACTGAAGAATCGGCAGCTGGACATGGTGGATTTCTTTTTGAAGAGCAAAGAAAATATTCTCTGTCCACCAACAGGCTACAGTATGCATGAACAGGCAGCTGCCAGCTCAACACAGATGCAACTAAAGAGTAAGACTTTATTTTTTTTAATATGTTAATAATATGAATTTTTCCCATTTTTAATCAGTGTTGGTAAAAGACAGGTACGGGTCTGTATTGAAAAACGGGAAAATGGGTTGATTCTCAGTTTCGGTTCTATTATTGTCAGTGGAAAAACATAAAATAGCTCTTCATTTTATAGTTTTACTAACTAATCATTAAATCAAATAACAAACAAACAGAAGTGGAATAAAGGGGGCGTGTTCTGTTCATCCATGCCACGGTTAAATATTATGAAGACAGAAAACACCAGACATGAATGTTGAGAAGATAAAACCAAATGTAAAAAAACAACTTGACGATTCATCTCCTTTTGTTCTGGCATATTGGTAGGATGTATTACATTTTGTAGAGGTGTTTGTGTATTTGACCGCACAAAAAATGAAAAGATATGGGGAAAGGACTCCTGTATTGGACTCCCACCATTTAACGGAGTGTCTGTGCTCACCAACTTTACCGGTGTTATGCTGAATTCCGACTACTCACAGAATCTGACTTCGCTTTGCGTGCATTCCTGGCATGTAGGCATATGAATGCTACATAGCAGCGAAACAACTCGTGGTTTGTTGTTTCTGTATTTAAATAACAGAATCTTTAATTTTACTTCACAGCAAACAGCACAACAGGACCTAAAGACAAACAGAGTCTCACAATGACAGTTTAATTTAGTGTAACAAAGACTTGGTTGTTGTCTTAGCTCTCAGGGGATGGCTTTTAGTCATATAGGTAAATGTACACTTTAAATACGGTTTTATTTGAAGTTCACCTCTAACAATGTGATTTTTTTTTTTTTAGTATTACTTTTTCTCATAATTGCTGGACTTTCATTTCCCCTTTTAATACGATTTTGAAGAAGTCATGTTGAAAAATTTACCCTAACTTTTCTCTAAGTGATGTCTAGCTAGGACAAATCTAGATTGTTTAATGAGATGCAGATCAAGTTAATTCTGGTCACTTTTCCTTGTGTGTAGGTTGTGCCATAAAAAGCATGTAGAAAGTCTCCAACTGTTGAAGTCTCCAAGTTCAACAGGGAAGATTTTATCAGGGAGAGTAGACATTAAAGATTAATTACACTTAGAAACAACAGAAGTCGTGAGTGTAATCCGTCCATATGCCTGCAGGATGCACGTGCACGTGAAGGGGAGTTGGAATTAGACACCGATGCCCCCCCTGTTAAATGGTAGGAGTCCAGAGTCCCTTCCCCATATCGTTTCTTTTCCAAAAGCAGAGCTATGCACAACAAATACAGCTGTACAAAACATAATACATCCTGCTAATATGCCAAACCAAAAGTAGATGAGTCATGATGTTATTTTTTATTTTTGGTTTTATCTTCTCAACACTCATACCTGATCTTTCCTGTCTTTATAATTTTTAACAGTGGCATGTATGTAATGAACCTGTTTTCTGTGCTTCATGTGCTCTGCTTGTTTATTTCTGGTTGAGGTGTTAGGAAATTTTTAAGTGAGATAAATACAGTTTGACCTCTTATTCCATTGTTGTTTGTTTGTTGATTGATTTTAGGATTAGTTTATGAGACTATAAAACAAAACTGCTTCTTGTTTTTCCACTGACAATAACAAAATGAGAATTGACCTATTTTCCCATCTTCAATACTGGATTTTAAAATGAAAATCGAATGACCAAAGGTATACTAACTGGTATGCAAGAAATCTTATCTTTTTTTTACGTACAGTCATCAAAGTGATGTCAAACCCATCACTTTTCTTCTCTTTTATATCAGGTTGATTTGACTGTGTATGCTATCAATACGTTTTGGCCAATTGTAAACTTTGACCTTCAAATGCAGAGATGCTGAACTACAGTATTACAGTGCCTTTGCATCTGAAGATCAAAGTTATTGAAGTGTTAGTTCATTTCTCTAACTTACAGTGGGCTTGCAACACTTCCTTATCAGTCAGTCAGCAATATAGGTTGCCACAATAAGCATGAGGTGTCTACATGTCTGGTGCTTCTAGCTAGTAGTACTTCTTTCATGCTTGGTGTAACCTTGTATTACCCCAGATCAGTCGCTCTACATCGTCAGTGTGTCAGGAAAAAAGACAAAATGTGATTCATATCTAACAAAAATGTATTAGCTGGGGATTTACTTATCAGTGTGCATAATGAACAGCTTTAATCAGAGAGGAGCATGGTAATTACACACTTGATTAAGCAGCGAAACCTAATCATAAGACACAAGATATGGCTTTGATTAGCTCTGCGTGGCAGTGAGGTGCAGTAGAGCAGCTACAGGGGGTGTGTGAGTGTGTGTGTGAGTGTGCATTAGCCTTTCATGTGTGAGAGTGTGTAGAGAGCCGTGTATTTTAGCTGAAGTTGAAGTGATCCATTGTGACAGAGACCTGCATAAACAGGAAGGGATTGACTACTTGACTAATATTAAACACCATTGAAAATGAAAGGCGTATCTGTTCATTAAAGATGGGTTGCAGGTGTCTCATTTAGAGGAGATGGTAGGAATTACTAAGTTTATTAGCTGTTAGCTGTTTGTTTCAAGTGTGCCACTGTAGTTGGACTTACAACAAAAATATAATATGGCAAAAATATAACAGTCCTGTGCTTGAAGACATTTACGTTAACTAACAGTTATTCTTTACCATTTGAAACTTCTCTAACACTTGACTTAAAACCTCAGTACACTCAATGTATGAGAACTCAGTTTTTTTCTCAGTTTAATTGAGAAAGTTTTGCTGTTGTCTGGAAAACGTAGGAGACAAAATAAAATGTCATGGGATTTAAAAATGTTTGTTAATATGTCCATGTAGGACTGGGCATTATTGATATAATTTTTTTAATTTATCACGGTAAGTTAGTGTGAATAAAGTCAATGAGCCTATCCTTCATGAATACTGTTACTGAATCCTTGTATGTCTTACAAACCTGGTGTAGCCTTTTCTTTAAAATTATGTACCATGTGTACCAAACAAAAGGTGCCTTTCCAGAACAGAAACTTTGTATTTTTAAACAATCTTTATGGATTTTAAACTGTCCTTTTAGAATCTGAAGCGCCCAGTAGATGACATACATTGCAGGCCCTAGATTTCAGTAGTAAACTGCACAAACAAAAACAGAAAAACAAACCACCTGGCAACAGTTACACTTATGGGTATCATGAACATTATGTTCATTATCCATTAAAATTATTGATGAAAATTAGAGCTGCTCGGTTATGGCAAAAATAAGCACAATTATTTTAGTCAATATTGAGATCACAAATATTTAACATGGTTACTCATTGAAACATCATGCATTTGTTGAATTAAAAAAGTGTCTTTTTAACAGTGAATTTCATTGACAATTTAGATGAAAATAAATTAGATGAGTTTAGTCTTTTAGGGAGCGGTGAAAGCACACTGCTGTAAAGAAAAAAAAGGGGTGCACTGGATGTATAACAGACAAAATGGGAGCAGCAATGTGAAATAGAATAAGGCACAATAATCATTTTATCTCGTTTATTGTATTTCCATAGTTGTTGGAAGCTAAAATCTTAGTTTAAAATAAAATTCACTTGATCAGTGCTACTAAAATGTTGCTAAAACTGAAAAGCAATATCACGGTAGGTCAGTATCACAGTGTACTGTCACAGATGAGATATATTGTCCAGCCCTTTATTCATGCTACTTCATACCCAATGCTGCATTCTTTCTCAGAGCACCGGTGCTAGATTCAGCCTGCATTTCATTTCTAACTCCACTTTGGCCTGTATCTGTTTCTCAGAATGCTCTTCGCCACCATTGTGGCCACAGGCTAAAACCAAATCACACCCTTTTTTTATTATACACCCAACAAGTTCATCACAGCATCTTGAACATGACAAGAATTGTTGCAGTGGTCTTAAATGCTATGGTTGTGCTGCAGTGATCTTTGATCAGATCAACATCGATATTCTGATATCCGGAATTACATGTGCATATCCTTAGAATAACATAGGTCTTAAAAAAACAATACAAAACATGGCAGAATCAAGTAGTGTGAAATTGCCTTCAGGCACCTCTCTTGGGCGTGTGTTCAGTTGCTGCATGGAAGCTTCAGTTTTCCATTTGCTAAGAATTACACCTTGTATGGTCTCTGTTTTTTTTTTCACTTTGCATAACAGTACAGAGCTGTCAAATAAGAAAGTTCATGTTAATCATAAAGTTAATAAAAATATCATTGGGACATGTTTGTAGTGTAAGTACTCTAATACGTCATGTAGTGTGTCATGTAATCTGTAATAATAGCTCAGGGCCTAGTTACATTCTCTTGAATTTCCTGCTGATAAGTGTAATGAGTTTCTCCCAGTGTGACGTTTGGTATCACAGTAACTCTGATATGACTGGTTCAAGTTATTTATTTCATCTATTCATTATTTGTCATGTAATTTAATTTTAAAATAAAATGATGCTGGAGGAAAGTGAATATTTGCCCATGTTACGTATAGGATTTTTTCAGTATTGCTTGCTGTGTAAATGAGTTTGACGTGGGATGGGCAATGTGGCAAAAATCTAACAATACAATACGTCAAGACAGTTTCATGACACATATCAGAATATTTCCTTTTTCTAAGGGTTTATTTTTAATTTGGAACAGTCAAGAACTAGTAGTTCCAAAAACTATGAATACAATGATTTTTATTTAGCATTTCACATATTACACTGCACTAAATACTAAATCGTAATTTATTCTGATAATGATAAATCTTGTCATGTTGCCACCCCACATTGCCAGTTTGACTCTCATGTTCTAAGGTCATGGGATAGCATTTGTCCTGCGGTGTTGCTGTCACCATAAATGTTGTTTTGTTGTTCGAAATATCATCTAAAGAGTGTGCGTGTGTGTGCATGTGTGTGTGTGTGTGTGCGCGTGCGCGTGCGCGTGTGCGTGTGTGTGTGTGTGTGTTAAAGATGCCCAGGATCTGTGTCCAGCGCTGGATCTTCTTCACTCTGCTATCAAAGACACATACGCCGAGGCTCAGAGTCCACAATTCTGTGAACAGCTGCTTAACATCACCCTCAATTTCCTCAATACACAGATCAGAGTCATTCTCAGCAGCACGCCAGGTAACACACACAGACACACTGTTCATTCACTGGACTTATTTTGCCTTATAACACCCTGAGTGTATATCTCCACCGTTAATTGATTAAAAAAAGTTTTAGGCCAAAACCTTAACACAAAACTAGCCTCAAACAATGTTTTTGCCATCAGGCAGCACATTTGTAACCATTTCAAGTAATAACTTTTGGTTATGTAGCTTTTGGAGGCATTAAACTTTGCATGTCTGGTTCCTGTCACCAGCACTGTAAGCAATTCAGATTCATTAAGTTTCTCTTGAACAACAAAACACTCTGAATGACTTAGTTTATGTTATAGCCATTGAATTATGCAAAAATTATTCAGTAATTACACAGAGAACAATGCAAACTGACTGAATTATCTGTAAGCCATAGAGGTGTGTTAAAAGATTGGACCTGCAGGCGGATCCCAGCCATTTAAGGGGTAAAGATTCACAAAGAAGCCGAATCTGTTCCTGTCTTTATCTGGTGGCTGTGTTTCTCGTTATACTGTTGTAGAGCTGGATGTCAATCTGCAGGAGTGTGTAAAGATCTTGAATGGTTATATCTCTGAACTGCGCACCTACATGAGGAAGTACCCCTGGCTGGTAGGGGGTGATCAGATTCCTGCCCCTAAACCTTCACCCGATATGACCTTGGAGGATGAGTGGGAATCAATGTCTGTAGAGGTCAGAGCCATATTATTTATATAAATATATATATATCTGTGTTGCATTCTTATGATGCAACATGAAGCAATTAAATGCACTCTTGCTGTAATTGAATGCTGCTGCTCCACTTAAATGTCAGCCCATAATTGTTGTGCTAAATACCCAGTTGCCTCTTACTTTTGATGTAGCACTTAATTTGTTATTTAAATAGATAACCCCTTTTTCATTTAGACATTTAAAATACCAGTTTAGCCCATTAAAGAGCAAATTATGTTATTTTGTTGCAACTTTGGCTAATGCTGTAAATATGCTAGTGTGTTTCCTGTGTTCATTTAGCACACACAGTGGGCAAAAATCAGCCAATTTGACTGTAAAGAAATCTGACTTGGCCATAAAAATTAATGATCGGTGCATGCCTTATAGATATAACTATGAAGAGACACAACCACTTGGCCTTTTCTATATTTGCAGGTTTAAGTTGTGGTAGGATTTCTGCAAGATATCTGTAAATTAGATTTTTCACCAAACTAACTGGGGGCAACATTCTGTGTCAGCTCACTCCGGCACTCTGAACACTGTTCAATTACTCATCCCAAAGCCCAGAAAAAAAGATTATCATTCAAACCCATTAAATAAATGTTGACATGTTACTTGAAAATGCAACCTCATTTCCAAAAACGTTGGGACGCTGTGCAAAATTTAAATAAAAACAAAATGCAATGATGTGCAAATCATTTAACCCCTATATTTAATTGAAATTAGTACGAAGATAGCATATCAAATGTTCAAACTGAGACATTTTATTGTTTTGCCCAAATGCCCATTTTGAATTTGATGCCAACAACATGTTCCAAAAAAGTTGGGACGGAGGCAACAAAAGGCTGATAAAATTGTGTAATGCTAAAAAAAAACATATGGTGGTTGATTGGCAACAGGTCAGTAACATTAGTGGGTATGAAAAAATCATCCCAGAGAGGCTGAGTCTTTCAGAGATAATGTTGAGGAGGGGTTCACAACTCTCTGAAAGACTGCGCAATCAAATAGTGCAACAATTTAAGAATAACGTTTCTCAACATAAAATAGCAAAGAACTTTTGCTTTTCATCATCTACGGTACATAACAACATTTAAAGTTTCAGAGAATCTGGTGAAGGTGGAAAAGTGTCCTGTGGTGCAACAAATCAAAATTTGAAATTCTTTTTGGAAATCATGGACACTGTGTCCTCTGGGCTAAAGTTCAAAAGCTAGTATTCATGATGGTATAGGGGTGCAATAGTACACTTGGCATGGGTGACGTGCACATCTGTGAAGGCATCATTAATGCTGAACGATGTATATACATGTTTTGGCAACATATGCTGCCATCCAGACGACGGAATAATGAAGGGAAGGCCTTCATTACTTCAGCAAGACCGTGCCAAACCACATTCTACATGTATTACAACAGCCTTGCTCCATATTAAAAGAGTTCGGGTGCTAAACTGACCTGTCTGCAGTCCAGGTCTGTTGCCCACTCATAACATTTGGCACATTACGAAATAAATCAATAAAATTTTTCAGTTTCAACATTTATTGTGTTGTCTTTGTAGTATTTCCTTTACAAATACGGTTTACATGATTTGCATATCATTGCATTTTATTTTTATTTACATTCTGCACAACGTCCCAGCTTTTTTGGAAATGGGGTTGTACATCATAGTGCCATGTTTTTGAGAACGTCTTTAGAAGAAGCAGTTTTGAAGTCTCAAAAGTTCTTAAAATATTCTTCAGAAGTGTGCTTATGTGTTTGTGTCTGTGTTTCAGGAGGTGGTGAAGTGTGCAGTTTTGTGCAGTGAGATCCCGCGTGCACAGGCGTATCTGCGCAGACGTAGTTGTCCAGAACAGAAGCTGGAGGAGCTGAGAACAACTGGCCTGAACCTGACCTTCTCCTGCCTCACACAAAGAGACCTGCAGCAGGCCACTGCACTGCTCACTAATATGGTACACACCTACACCTGGATATAGCACCTGAACACATCAGGTTCATAGCCTGGGTCCACCTAGATTGATAACAGGCCTACACAATCAAATGGGGAAATACTATTTATAAAGCTACATCTTAAAGATAATAAAATTTGATTTGTTTTCTCTTAGTGCTTTTATTGTATTATAGACAGTCAAAGTTATGCTCTCGATATCATTTCTTAATCTGTGATGTATAGTCCAGTTGGGCAATCTCAAGCTGTCTAATTTTTTCAACCTGCCAACCACTGTTTAGCTATCCACCATTGCCTCAGACTTTCTTTTCTTTATCAGCGTGCCAGTTTTTTTATTTGAAGCTCCAGCTTTGGTCAGCAGATGTAGAGGGACCTGTAAAAGTGAGATTTGTCCCTTATATAGTAGAGTATGTAATTTTCTACCAGTTTCCAAAGCCAAAATCAAATTTAAAGAACACCATTGTTATCTGTGGTCTGCAAATGCTCTTTGCATTTGTGGTGCTTACAGTGCTTTTTTACTGCAAAAGCTAAAATGAACTGTGTCAAAATTAGGAGTCGACCGGTATATGTTTTTTTTTAGGCCAATACGATACCGATTGTTAGTAATCAAGGACATTGAAAACCATATTTGGGGCCGGTATTCATTTACCGTAAATTTGATGTTTGTAGTGTGAAAATTTACAAGAATGCAATTACTCACAATTTACATTAAATTAATATTATAGCAGTACAGGCAATAATGTGCTTTGCACTTTAGACAGTATATGTTGTAAAAAAATTTACTTTAAACAAATGAAAATAAATCACTTAAATAGCTCATGATGAATTTTCTGTAATCAGTGACTTTTTAAGACAAATTAAGCTCAAAAAAGGGGCTCCTTTACACATATTTTTATAAAACAAACAAGTAGTGCTCACTCACATAGTGCTGAAAGCACATTAGGTTCCTTTTTAGTATATAGGTGCAAGCTAGAAAGCCTAGATACAGACTAAAAAAACATCGCAGTAAGCGTCTGATCAGTCATGCAGGAAAAATTGTCACTTATTCATAAAAAGCAACAACAGTGAGGGTATATGAATGCTAAGATGTTTATTTAATTTTGTTGTTCAACCAAAAATGTATTTCATGTAATAACGAGCAGAAGTTGGATGTGTTGAATGTTTCAGGTGTATCCTGATTGGCTCTTGAAAATGCAGAGCAGTGGAATCTTTGGAAGTAGCAAGCGGCAACTATTTGTACTTTTAACAAGAAATGAAAATGACCAGAAATAGTGTATAACTTATTTATTACACGTAAAACTTAAACTTTTTGATTTTACAAATAATTTACTGCTTTCTGGAGTCTTGTCTGCATAGTTGGCCATCCACTGAAGTGCCGCCACTATCGATTCTGCACAAGTTCAAACCACTTTTTGCTCCCCTACACAGAAACCTTACTCTTACCAAACACGTGATGTTTCAGGCAGGGCTCAAGATGCACCCACAAGCCACATTTGCCTGGCTAGAGTGAGCGAAATGATTTGACTGAGTGCATTGTGCTTTTTGCAAGCTGTGTTATTCCACCTCTCAACCTCTCGCTGCTTCCACGTCTTTCACAAACACCGAAAAGCACGGTTGATTGGATTTACTCGACACGGGGGCGGGACACAGAGATGAGCTACAGACGTGCAAGTTGGTTGCACTCGATGCATCATCCACATTTTTTAACAATCCAGTAACACTGTGGACGGGACATTGAGCCAGACTACAGAAGTGTGTTTTGTTTATCGTGGTTGAATCAGATATGCGCATAAAGTGCTTTATTGGCAAGGAAGCAAGTTCAAGTGGCAATTCCAATAATCAGAAATTTGCTACTCATCGGCTCCGATTGTCAATCTGGCCAATAATTGGTGGACCCCTAGTCAAAATATCAAAGCAGGTGTCTGCTTCAATGCATTGATTCATCAAAGGTAAGACGTAGTTGATCCTTGTCAGAACTTAGTTATATCATTTTCATTGGGCAAAAGTTGTGTCAGTCATGAACAGACACAACTTGATAATGAAGTGTTGGTTGGGTTTATGTATATTTAGCATTCTGTTTTATGTACACATCTTCCTAGTTTTGTATCACCATAGACCGAATATTTTGACATTGCAGTGCGTTTGTAAAATGTATCCAGAAGAAAATGTACCTTGGTGCACCACTTTTTCACAGGCCTACCCAGTTTTTAAAAAGGACCTATTACATAAAATTGGGTATATCATTTCCTACTAAAATGGTACACTTTAGGGAAAAAGTGACAAACTGCCTAGTTGAGTATCTAATGTAATGTAATTTGTGTAGACGTCAATGAAAATGAATTCCCTGAGACCCAGCAACATTGTAGAACTGTCAAATAGACAAACAACACTATTTTTCTCTCTCTCTCTCTCTCTCTCTCTCTCTCTCTCTCTCTCTCTCTCTCTCTCATATTCTCAGGGTTTCAATGTGAAAGAACAGCTTCACAAAATCTGCATGTACACAGCTGATCGGGACCTCAGAGCATTTATGGTGAGCATGTCCTTGAATCCCAATAGAACGTGTGCTCTAACGCACTGCAGACCCCAGCTGCACATTAGGATTTTACTTCAAATGAAGATAGTTGCTCAATCAAATGAAGGTCCTGAGTGTAATTGTTTGATGCAAACAGAATTTTAATTAACTGTGTTTCATTTGAGAGTTTTGCGTCCTAGATGGTCTTGACCAATTGATTTCCTTTTTTCTGCCTAATTGAACAGGTAGAAGAGTTGAAAAGGCAGAATCACCTCTCCACTGAGGAGATGGAGAAAGTAGAGTTCATTAAACAGATTGAGCAATTTTGCTTAACACCAGCAACACGGTGTTTAAATCCTTTGGACAAGAACAGGTAAGAGACGTGTACTGTGTACTGTGAAAAGTTAGAAAGAACGCTTTCGTTTATTCAATTTCCAGCCTAAACAGCTTTTAAGTGCAAGTTATTCATATTTCATTATCAGTTGATGATTTGTTTTCGATTGACGGCATCACAAATGCTGATAAGTACAAATAAATTTGTACTTACGCAATACCCTCCTGAAAACGTTCAGATCAACATAATTCTCAGATGTATCGGACACACTTCTCAAACAAAGAAGCTAATGTAATGACTACCCCAGAGTCCAGACCTCAGCGTCACTGAATACGTCTGGGATTACTTTGATCGTGAAAAGCAGAAAATGCAACTCAAACAACTTCTGAGACTGAACTTTGCAGGTGTGGAAAAATATTCTCCAGAATATTCCAAAGTGTCTTACTTTGTCTCTTTTTATTTCTCAATTATTTTCCCCACCCCACCTAGTGTGTACTTACAGTGATTCAAGTGCTGTATGAAGCATGAGCTGAGTAAATATAATAATGCTTAAACACTTGCAAAGTTTAACTTTGGCCTAGTAAAACTGTTATAGTTTTGAACTTTGGCAAATAGTGTAATGTGGCTATAATTTTTGTTTGTTTCTGATACAAATGACCATGTGTGTCTCATGTTATTTCTCAGAAACAGTAACTTTATAGGAAAAAAGACACACAATATAAAGGGGGGGGTGTTACAGGGTTTTTTTATGACAACCTATATAACTGTCCATTCTCTATGTTTAGAGTTCTTCAAATAAGCCAATCGGAAGCTGAGAGCAGATGCCTGCTACAGGAGATGCATGGACCACTGCATTCCTCCTTCCAGTCTCTGCTGGGCTCAGTGCGTTTGGACTGGGTCAGACACTGGGACAATGACACACAGAGAACTGTGCTCCTCTCCAGACTTCCCAGGCCCTGTGAGTGGGTTAATATGTAATGTCCTGCTGGTTTATCACGTTACTTCCACAACCTTTAGCCTTGTAAAACATGTAATCAGGATTTTAGGAGCTAAACTAAAAGATGAGATATCCAACAGATAAGCCCATCTGCTTAAAACCTGCTCTAATACTTCAAAATCGTCAAGGCTGCTCTATTGCTCAGTTTCCTGTTTTGTCATAGTGCTGGGCTCCTGTGACTCTGCTGTGCTGTGGTCATACCTCACCTCCCTTCATGACCAGACGCGTGTCACTGCATGGCTCACAAGCATGGCTACTCAGGACAGAGAGAACACTGCTGCCCCCCAGTGGCCTGCACTTACCGCTGCCATTGTGAATGGAAACACCCTCTGTAGTGACTACATGAGAGACCAAATCCTGGACATGCTTGCCAGGTCATGAAAAACAAAGTTTTAAAAAATGTTTGCTGTTGTGCTGTCTAGGGCTGCAACTTTTTATTTTATTGACAATCGATTAATGTATCAATTATTATTCAACTAATCGACTACCGTTAGAACCATTTTACCTGATGCCATTTCCTCTCACTTTGCCTCCATTACATCATTAAAATAAAAGCCATTTGGCCCTCGCTGCTTCCTGTGGTGAACTGCAGTCTGTCAAAATGACAGCATGATTCATGTGAACGTTATAGAGCAGGTTGCTCAAACATTTTGTATTCTGGGTATAATGTTTGTGGTTATGGGTCAGAAACACAAAACAGCTAGCTAGCAACTCGTTAGATGTGAGCACATTGGCAGTATGTTGGCTGTTTTCTGTAAAGAGTAAAATTCCTGTAAATTTCTGTAAAGTTCCACTGATTTTTGAAAAATTTTTGCATACCTTATATGGTTATTTGATGTGAAATGCTCCGTTCTAAAGAAACTTAGTCAGTTCACAGTGGTGATGATAACCAGATGTCTGAAGCGTTGTGTGTTCTATGTTGGGTGTTTTACGCTAGTTTTGAGGAAAAGTTTTGGCCTAGCGTATTTTAGCTCATAACTGCTAGCTTCATATGTGTTATTACAAATGCATTGAATCTGGTGACAATTGTATGGTGACAACGGTCATAGAATTTTTAAATTTTATAACATTGTTGTATAACAAAAGTACATCGAAAAGAAAAAAACAAGAATCTAAAAAATTAAGAAGTTGGCTGAGGAAGTGGGGGGTTAGACAACTTTATGGCAAGCCAAAGCAAACGTAGGCCTCACTTTGAGCAGCCCTGTCATAGAACAATGCAGGGTCATCTTGTTTTTAAGTAAACGATGCGTTAACTTTTTTTTTTAATCAATAATCAACCAGCAGCCCTAGCAGCTTTAGTGCTGTCTTATATGAAGTATATTAATAATTTTCTATACTGCTGTATTAGAAGAAAATGAATCTGCTCTCTTTGTGCAGGCAGGAGGTCTTTGTGCAGTCAGAGATGTCTGATTTTGAGCAGTTGCTGTGGAGGGTGAGTCAGGCTGGAGGAGTGATGCGGGCTAACAGTGTCCCTCCTGTCCCGCAGTTCCATGTTTCCCAAGGCCAGGACTTCCATACACGCTTTATCCAGCACTGTCTTGAGAATAGCCTACATTACCTGCTCTATACCTACCTGGAGCATTACAGGTGGGTTACTGACGCTAGGTTTTGCTACTTCATCACCGAAGATTTCACACAACACAACCCTGATCAGAAACCAACTCGGCACCTGTGCTTTTTTGAGGTATTTTCTTCAGCAGATATTGTTTTATTCTATACTTTTGATTCTTCTGGCTCCATTATTTAGGTTGACACCCAGTAATTGCCCTGCTATTGGAGACAGAGGTTTGTATGAGAGTTATCCCTGGTTTGAGATGATGGTTAAACTACAGAGAATTACAAGAGATCTCACAGGTAAGTCCTGACCCTTCAATCTAGCATGATAGTACAGCCATATTAACTGGCCACACTAGCTATGATTGGTCATTGAGTTATTTAGCTTCTGTTATAGGGGGACTGTCAGAAGTGTGCATGCACAAAGTTTAAAAAAAAATATATATATTTTTAAATCAGATGTGTCCAGAAATTGAGAGAAAGGGAATATTTCAGTGATGATGGAGTACAGGTTCTTTTTAGGTACCCAATAAGTACAGGTTGGAATCTCAGGATTTAAGGTCATTTCTAAATACTGAACACCTATTATTTATTCTATGCTGCTTCTACACACTGGTCTGCTCTGTATTGTACTTGCCCAAACAACAAATCCACGAGTGTGTGTCTACAGTGTGTGTTTGGACTGCAGAATGTGATAAATGTAAATAAATAGATTGATTACTTTTATACTATTATAATCCCTGATTTTTTTTAAAGCCACAATAATAGTGTCAAATGTACTGATTTTTTTATACAACAAAGGAGAAAGGTCAACTTTTGTTTGAAAGTTCAGAAGCTGAAATCTGAGTGCACAAATAGAGTTAGAGGCATGAACAAAACCACTGGTCTATAGTAAGACATAAGAAAATGCCATCTTTAGGAATCACTAGGTATATTCTGTTGATTTTAGCTCTTCTACTTCCTACTGAATTTTGCTGAAGTTTGCTGTGGTGTTGAACCTCTCCACTTTACTTTCAGACCCAGAGCGAGTGTTCCAGGCTAGCCTGACAAGTGCACAGGTGCTGTTGCCGGGCAGCCAGGCTAGTGTTAGCAGTATGCTGCTAGAGGGACATAGCCTCCTTGCTCTCTCCACAATAATGTTTGGACCTGGGGGCATCGATCAGGTATGAGTGATTTTAGAAACCTTTCCAAACCCTGTTGCTCTTAATGATGCTCATTTGATTTTGACCTGTGAGTTTATCCAGAGAAGAAAGGACAAAGTTCTTGATTATAAGCCATTCGTCATTGATGGTTGGCTGTCAGTGGATAGTCACGCTGTTGTTTCTAGTGTAGTACTAGTGTATGTGTTTAAGGCTTTATTAACATGCTTATGCAAGGCATTGCATCACCACTTGTTTAGATGTTGGGTTCAGTTTATCTGTTAATGTAGTTTCCTTTATGCTGGGCTACAATTTTGATGTGGGCTATCTTTCCAGCTAAAGATTCAGGTTTCTTTACCTGTTAAAAAATCTGATGTGTTATCCCAAAGGTTTCTCAGCCTGTATTGTTTAAGGGTTTATTTATAGAGAAAACGTCTTGTATTAGTGATAGTGTTAAAGGCTTTCTGCCTGGTTTAGACATTTATGTATGATCCTGTGAGTGTTGATTCTCTAAGAGTTAAGCCAGAGTCAGGAGTTGAGTTCTCCACCTGTAGAATGTAAGTTGAGTGAAACGCTGCTGCTGCTGTTAGACTCTGCCTAAAGAGACATTTAGTGCTGAGCGAAAGGGAAGTTGCTTCTTTCTGCTGTTTTTGAGTTTACTGCTGGTTGTTAATTCAGCCCTCCTCACTCAGCCATGTTACTGTAAAACTTTACCCTCTTTCACTTTATATGCATGGTCACTTTCATCTGTACATTGTCTGCAGTCTGATCTTTGGTTGCTTTACTAAATAGCTATTGTTAATTATCAGTGCTAAAAATATATGCAACTGTTATTGCTGCTGGGG